TACACAAAGCAAAGTAAAACGGAAAATGCATAAAAACATTAAATGAAAAAGGGCTTTGCTTCTTTATTATGTATAAAGCACGAATTGTTATTTTTGCCTTCCGAAAATATGCAAAGCTAGTTAATCGTAAATAAGAGAACGCTCGTGTAAAACTTAATTTTGCGTTAATGTTTCACCTAATAAAAATTTGAGTTAATTTAAAAGAAAAATTGATTAGCAGAGGATAACAATCGACTGGCTATTACAAAGATTTCTGTGATTTTGATAGAACCTAATCCTCGATCGACGTCTAGTCTGAAGAAGAGATATTTGCATAAATTTTTCTGGGTTGCGAATGTCCGACAATAACGAGGCCGCCACATGTTCGGGCGATGACGTATGTACGGCTAACGCTGCGGCGCGACGGCGGAGTCGGTAAAAGGGCGACATGAGAGCTTTCGCGTTATAAGAAGTATTCGGAGCGTGTGAGAGATCGAGCCCGACTGGGCGGGTATGTCGGATTTATGGCAGCCGTGCACGGCATCTGGTTAAAACAACGCTGATGCCCTGCCCCGAGCCGGTGAACACGAACGATTACCCCCCCGGATCGCGGGCAACACGGCCTACCCGGTCAACGTGGTACAGAATCCACGACATTATCCCGCTGGTATTGACATTCGCGGTCTGACAGAATACAAGTGTGCTAAGCTTCAATTGATAGAACACGATCGGCACGGTCAACGTATCATTTATTAAAGGCACGGATGCTGCTTATGGTTGTGCGAGCGATCCCACATATGTAGAGAAATGTATTCAATGTTTCAAACACGCAAAACTTGCGATCTTAACTCAAATTGCAAGTAAAAAAAGAGCGAGATCCCTCGCGAATTGAACTTCACAGGGAAAAAGACGAAAAGAAATCCAATTCACGTCTTTCAACTTTGGATGGATCTTTTCTCTTTTAGAATTCTGTTTTGAAGTATGTAAAAATGTTTCGTCGTTAATATTAAGAAGTGAGAGATTCTATATGCCAAATATATAAAAGTTGATTACATTTCGGTTTGTAAGGCAGATAAAACTTATTCTACTGGCAATAGTCCATAATTTAGTCGTTAATATTTCTTTGCGCGTGCATGCGGAAAGTTATATTAACACGAAACTCGTTAAGAATTGCACTTGCTGGTGGGAAATTGCTCTAACAATTCCAATGAAAATCCGCAATAATTTCAAACCGCGGACGTGAAGGAGATTGCCGGCGTAGATTAGATTAGCGGATTGCCAGATTACAGAGTAGAGTCCCTGTAAGAGCAATGTTTCTGACGCGTGCTGAAATACGGTGTCCTTTAATGCGCACCTTCAAAAACTGGCAGGAATATCAGCGACACATCGCTGAAATGTTCACCAGTTTACACGAACGATTCCCGAGCACGTGAAAAGTGCACGCCAGGAGGTGACTTCGTTCGTTCAATTGCGGATTAATTTGACTCGCCGTTTATTCCCTTATTGCGAACACTGTTACACGATGTAATTCCGAATGTATCCACTTTCCCGACTACACGTCGTTACATATAACGAATGTAATATACTTTATAATGAGCCGTGCGCTAAACCCTTATCACGCCCTTTAACTTATATATTTTTCTCTATTTTTCTTCGGGAGCGCGCAGGTATCTTGATTAAAGAGACGACCATTTATTCGAGAACGAGGTCGGTCTCTTGATATTTTAATATGTACGATTCCTATGGTAGGTGCCAGTAGCAGGCACCGCGTGGCGACGAGGCGTTACGTTGTTCTAAGTAAAATTATTACCTCGGCGTCATCCACGTGACACGAAATCAGGCAAAGGTACGTTGACCAAAACTGGCTTGACCACATCGCGTGACAACGACGGCCGGCCGCGAACCGTATATACCGTGAAATATTAAGAGTAGTTAAGCGATTTTGAACACGACATGGCAAAGTGGGCGCACCGCGCCATTTTTGCGGTCCGTTATTAATTTTCTCTGCTACGAAAATCCAGCCGTCCGTCCCTTGCGGACGCCGCCCGCCGACCAAGTCGTTTTAATTAATTTTAATTGATTAATTTTAACTAAGCGCCTTCTCCGCCGCTGCCCTTCACAGCATGTTATTAAGCGCTACTTCATTTTCGAAGTGTACCCGGGAACTGGAGCAAAGTGCTGCTGTTTGCGAAATACACGGCGAATTTCGATGAGAGAATTCGCCAAGTAATTTTTATTTCTATAACTATCATGTTAATAATAATAATAAATATGTATTAAAAAATGCTACATTAATTGAAGATACGCGACATCCCCAATATTTTCGAGAAACCATTTCCATCGAGGTATATTTTCTGTTTCAGTTTTAAAATCTTCATAATTGTAACTTTATGATTATACTTTGACTCTGGTATTCTTTTTATTTTATATTACTTTACTTTATACTATGCTTTTACTCAGAAAATCCAACACCAAGTCATTTAAAGAAAAGAGAAAAAGGGTACTAACTAGAGACAAAACAGAGCTAATAGTACTACAAAGTCAGGTGTAACGTAGAAGTTTGAGAGACGAGTGTGTTTTAAAAGAAAACTACTGTTGCACAGTAGGTCGTCACGCGAAAACTTTCGTCTGTTTCAGGCGGTGTCATGAGCTACACTATACCAGATGCTTCCCTACCGGAGTTCAGTGACATTTCGTACGATGGTAAGAAGGAGGACAACTTGCTGACCGATGGTTTAGGTTGTCTAATCGATGGCGAGGTCGGCGCGGATAATTACAAGGAGGACATGGGAAATGGAAAAGGTAATCGGTGGGGATGAACACGTTAAATAGTGAATCATAGTTAAGATATCTTGGTAATTTTCTCCAATGACACGATTCTCGGCGAAGCGATATCTCTTTATATTAAAAAGAAGTCCGCGATCATTTTGTCACAGATATGAGTTATCGCAATTATTCCTATATATCACATTTAGTATATTTTTCTTTGCTAAACTTTGTCCTCAATTTATTATAATTATGTTTCGTAACTTTATCGCGCGATATTGAAATAAAAAGAGTTTGTCTTTTGTGTTGTTGTAAATTTCTTCTGAAACTTTATTTCCTTTTACGTTCCAGCTTGAATGAAGGTAAATTCTTGATATTGTTATCGCGTATAAATCTCTGTTACAATTAGAATATACATTTAGAATACAATTAGAATATATATTTGTTTGCTGCGATAGAGAAACAGCAACAAAATAGCGCAATTCGTTGCGTTTTGTATGAAAGTTCCTTCTTCGTTGGTTGCAGGCACGCGGTGGGTTGCTTGGCTTCGTGACACTTTCCAAGAGAACTTCGTCGAGCTCATCTTCGAGTTTGAAGCCATCATGGTCTTCGAAGCGGTACACATCTATACCAACAATTATTTCTCACGGGACGTTCAGGTAATCTTCAACTCGCTTTTGCGCGACGTATTTTTCACTCATGTACTTTTATAAACCCTTCGTTGTACGTTGCAGTTAAAGAAATTAAACATTTAATCGCGATCATCTAACAGAACAAACATATCACGCTTAAAATTTCGCAATAATGCGTTTTCCTTTCCGTCATCAACATGAGATCTTTAAATATATTTTAAAATGTTATCTATATTTTTTTTAACTTCTAATTGTAAATACAAAAAATGAGTGCGGAATATTGATGGAACATTTTCGAGATACGTTCGAAATTTGATTAAAACTTCCATCAATTGTTTTAAAAGCAACATCATGAGTAGAATTTAAATAATGATTATTGCTTTTTGTCAAATAACCATTTGTCAGGCCGAAATAATTGCGTTACGTATCATTGTAAAAACGTCAATCAAAAAACACCAATGAAACATCCTCAAAGATGAAACGGAATATCTATGGCAAGGAATATTTTCTATTCTGCATTACAGATATCAGTTTACAACATATATTATAAATGACATGATTAACGATTTGCCGATTACAGCGACAATTATTATCGCGTATATATATTTCTGTGATGTCAATGCCCTCATATGATACTGATAACGTAGATAGAGTTTTTATGTATCAAAGTACATCGACCGTGACAAAAACAAGTTTAAGCGCATCGCAAGTTTTCATTTTTCCGGAACATGGTATGCTCGCTACACAAAAAAAGCAACACATAGAAATTCTCCTCTTTCTCTTATTGCGTTGATGTGGAAGCAGAATAGCATCGTGTGTCGCACGATATAATTATTATTTTCCCTGTACACAACTCTGCGGTATGATTTATTTAAAATTTAGTTTCTGTAAAATGATGATAATTTCATTTTTAAATTTATTAAAGACTTACAAGATTGAATCTTTCTCCGCTTCTCTCGTGCTCGTGAAGAGAACATATACTTCAATCCGATTTTGGTTTGCACAGGTATTTTCGAAAGCGGAGATATGGTTCAGCACCGACGGCGAGATCTACGAAGACGAGCCCTTACCCTACTCGTACATACCGGACGTCGTGCTAGAAAACGCTCGAAACGTTTCGATCGGTCTGCACGGACGGCGCGGGAGACTTCTCAAATTGCATCTCTACTTCGCCGCACGATGGATCATAATCGGCGAGGTGACATTCGATGCAAGTGAGCTTCCCGTATCTCATTTTCCTCTAGTAACATTCTCTCTCTCTCTCTCTACTACTCTACTCTCTCTCTCTCTCTCTCTCTCTCTCTCTCTCTCTCTCTCTACTCTCTCTCTCTCTCTCTCTCTCTCTCTCTCTCTCTCTCTCTCTCTCTCTCTCTCTCTCTCTCTCTCTCTCTCTCTCTCTCTCTTCTCTCTCTCTCTCTCTCTCTCTCTCTCTCTCTCTCTCTCTCTTTTTTTTACTCGTTCCGATTTTACATTACCTTCGATGTCATCTTGCGAAAAACAATTTGTCACGTTCTTTTAGATTTCCCGCGGGTTTCTTTGGACATCTTGTATATTGCCTGACCTAAATACTGACCTAAGCGACAAGAAAAAATTGCGAAAACAGATGAGCGCATACTTAACTATATAATTTGCGGATCGTAACGCTTCAAGAAATCTTGTAATGAACGAAGTTATAATTATCTATTGGATTATCTCACTTCGCCCCGTACGCATTCGCCAGTTTCAATTACCTTTTAATAATCATGTCGTGTCTTTATCTCGGATATCTGCGATCGCATTTCTTTAATTTTATCGCGCTAATGACCGTTTGAGTTAACGATATTGAACGCGTACGATAATCCCATTTAAATCTTTATGCGAATGTGTGCACGAAATGTGTAATATTCTTCGAGGTAAAGAAATATACGGTAATAACCGGCATAAAAATTTGTATCATTTCTCGTTTTTAACGCGATGGCAGAAATTACATGAGAAACGCTTATATTCGCATGCGTGTATAATGAGATTTTTTTCCTACTTTTCATTTAATTAAATATGATTTTAATATCTACAACTAATAATAATAATGCGATGGTATTTATGGCGCTCTCTAATTTTTACGCAAATTTAAAGGCAAACAATAAATATTTTAATAGCGTCTTATCTCATTTTGATAATTCACGTCTAAAAACATCATCTCCTTCATAAATCTAACAAAATTTTCCCTTGGTTCGAGTTAGCTACAGCTATTTTCCGCTTTCAGCAAATCCCTACGAAAACACTACGGAAGAAGCGGCGTCCGAGTTCAACCGAGAGATTCCAGTCAACCCCGAAGTGGATCTCAACTTACAAACGAGTAAGTAACTTGCCGAGAGTGGCATTTAATTCGTATCAATCTCGTTCTAATTAAGCACAGGCTACTAGAAACTTTTCATTTCTCGTACCGCATGTCTCTAAGTAGGACGGTCCCAGATTCACAGGAATATTTCTACATTTAACGTTTCATTTGCGCACCTCTCGTATTACTCGCATAAATCTCACGTTTCACTCTTTTACGCGAGCGTTTATTTTAAACGTCCACCTATTTCCAAACTTGAATTGTTAATAGTTGGTAACATTGATAATAAAAAACAATTTCATTTTTACTTATTGAATAAACTATCGCGTGAATGATTGCATGTAAAAGCAATCATTTTTTTATTACATCGCTATTTTTATTTTACCATTTTGATTTTATTACCAATATTATACGTATCTTTTCTATTTCAACTTAATTGCGTTTGAAAACATAAATCTTGAATAAATTTAATAAGTGAGCATAACGAAAATGAGCTTTCATTTAATTCAAATAAATGTAACTATCTAATAGTATTCTACAAGCTTTATCGAAGATTTAGCGTATATATAAAGAATATTAAAAGAAAATATATTTGATTTGTGTCGTTATGTTTTAAATACTTATATACTTACTTTCTTATATTTTTATTCTTATACTTTTTTGAAAAATTTTCATTCTGTTGGATAATAATGCAAGATTTAATAATGCAAGAAAAATTGATATTATATATATAATATTTACAATTGCATACTTCTGCAAAACATGCGTATTCGGTCCACTTTGAAAATGCTCGACGTTTTCAGCTAACTTCGTTAGCGAAACGGGGCCGTTATTCTTTACTAAGAAGAAGATACGATTAGGAAAAGTCATTGTCCGACATAGAAGAGAAAGAGATGCGGTTGCACTTTATAATTCACATAGCAACTTCCTCGTAACGTAAACAATTAGTCGGGTTAAGAGGTAGCGCATTTGAGGAAAGAAGAAAAGAAAATGGAAAAAGAAAAGTAAGGTTGACTCTGGCATAATTACGTATATCTCATAGTTTGTGCCAACAACAAATCGCTATGCATTTGCATTTTCCAGCCGCAAAACAAATTAAAAATATGCATTTTCCGCTTGAATCATTGAATATAATCAAAGGAATTGCTTATCCAGATGAAAAATTAAAAGCCGTGGCGTAAAGAAGAAATAAAGAGAGAGAAATAAGAAATATCGATAGAAATATTCCGTGTAGGTGGTCAAATTCCATGACGATATATTTTTAGTAGGAACACACGTTTCTGTATGCATGTGTAGTTTTAATCCTGGTCACAGTTTTCTGATATGAACAACGAATAATTACATTAGACTTTTTTTCTCTGTGCGATATCCTCCCACGTTCCTCCCAAAACGTATGATAAAAGCGCGCGGAATGCGCGTCGACTGTTAAGAATAAAAAATAAATAGGACATAATTTGTCGACCGGATAGATAGAGAAGCGCACATGAATACAGAGGGGTAAATTACGTTACGAAAGGAGAACGAGAAATGGGAGTAAAAAAAATGATAAAAACTTATAACGCGGAGACAGAGTCGAGGAAGATATAGATAACAGAAAGTGCACGGATAAACGAGGACGCGGAAAAATGTTGGGAAGAATATACTCGACTGTTGTATAATTACTGCTCTCCGATACATCCCGTCACCTACGAATTTCATCCCCCTTTCCTTCCCCCCCTCTCCTCCTCGCTCCCGAAGAAACCCCCGTCGAAAAAATAGACTGAGCACTTTCCCGAGTGTTCGCCATTATAAATAAAGGAAACGCGAACGGGTCCTCAAATAAAACAGCCGCAAAATCGTCCGACCGCGCAAATGCAACACGCGCGCTAAAAAAGACGGCGAGGGAAGGGTGACAAAGGGTAAAAAAAACAGAGTAACTAAAAACAACATGTAAACCGAGCGTCCGCTTTACGGTGGTCTGAATTCAAAAGGACGCGGCGTGGCGGTGCCGTACCCGCTAATATAGTTCTTGCACGCAATTTTTTTACGAGTTCACGAGCAAGGAAAGCTAAAGAAAGCACAGCGCTTTCATAATTCAAGCGCCGATATTCAGTGCGATCGATTATGCGGATTAGTCGAACGTCTGATTCGGTAGAGCGGATGGGTGGATTAGAGAATTATAAAGGAACGAACGAAATAAGCAATCAAGAGAAACAGACACACACACACACACACACACACACACACACACACACACACACACACACACACACACACACACACACACACACACACACACACACACACACACACACACACACACACACACACGAGAGAGAGAGAGAGAGAGAGAGAGAGAGAGAGAGAGAGAGAGAGAGAGAGAGAGAGAGA